GATCATCACTTCCAACCCTTAACCTGCCCCTGAGGCTCAGGTGAGCGTTACTCTGCTGCATGCCTGGGGTGCACAGTGCAGCTCCTGCCTTATGAGGCAGTGCTGAACTGACTGAGCAGGTGGGACACGCTCCCCAGGAGCGTTCTCTAACCCCTCTGTGCTGGTCCCTGTGGCTGAGCAGAGCACAGGGGCAGGCAGTGCTGAACAGCTGGAGGTGAGTGTCAGCCTCCCAGGGCTGTGCACATTCCCCTTGTGCTCCCTGGGTGAGGTAAGGATGGACACACAGGGCAGAGAGGAGGCGCAGTGGATTCCAGTGCTCCCACGCAGCCACACCTGCTGACACGGAGCTGGTTTGTCCCTTGGATCTCCTGGGGGCAGGTGAGGGAGCAGGTGGCAGTGCTGTGTGCAGGGGAATGTCAGAGGTGAGATGTGTTTGGCTCCAGCCCTGTGCTCAGGAGGGAGCCCCGGAATTGTCAACACGCTACAGAGGAGCATAATGTTTTGGGAAGAGCCTGGGATCCAGTTGTGAGTTTGAGCAGCTGCTGGCACCAGTGTGCTCTGGGCTTACCTGTGTGTTGTGGTTTGGTTTGAAACTGGCACTGCTCCTGGTACCCTTGGGGCAGTCTGAGCCTGCTGAGCTCGGGAGGAGGATTCTGCCTGCCCTTCGTGGGGATGAGTGGGTTAAGGTGTGCACTGTTCAGAGACCTGAGCAGTTTGGAGGGACAACACCTCTGGGAACGAGCAGGGGTTTGTCTTAATTGCCTCGTGGGAATGCAGAGCCCTGTGAGTGCTGTGAGGAGGCGAATGGTTCCGTGGGCTTGGTAAATAGCAGATTAAGTCCCCTGTGCAATGGCAGTCTGAGGAACCACCCAGAGTCACTGTGGCTCCCAGCCTGGCTCTGGGTGTCCCCTGAGGTGTGTGCTTGATTCACATCCTGAGGGTGCTGCTGCCCCTGGCTGTCACACGGGGCTGGTGTGTCCTGCCAGGCCGCTGCTCAGCTCAGCTGACAGTGACATTTCATCCTAGAGGTGTCCCTGGGTGGCTGCTCGTGGTTCATGGGGGGATGTCTGAGCCACAGCTGTTCGGGAACAGCTCCTCCATTCTTGCTCTTCCTTGCACTGAGATACCTTCTCCTTGTCTTTCACGACACCTGTCTTCATGGCACCATTTTCAGATGCTTTGAAAAGAAGTGCTGCTGCAGCTGCTGTGCCATGGGTGAGGGGTTGGCAGGAAGTACATTCCCTGAGCTGGGAGTTCTGGATTGTGAGGAGCTCCAAGCCCGGTAGAATAATCCTTGCTGACAGTGTGTACTGTTGGTGCTCTGAGAAAGGAAAACCGCTTGGAAATTGTATTATTACTGTTGTTGTTCTGTGCCCTCAGAGACCACCGTTCATGCCTCCTCCCATGGGCAGCATGCCCCCACCTCCCGGCATGATGTAAAAAAAGGTCTGCACCGGGAACACCAGCAATGCCCCCAGCCGAGGAGATCTGGGTGGAGAACAAGACTCCTGATGGCAAGGTGAGAGGAGTGCAGGGTGGTCGGTGGTGCTGTGAGCCCCTGGGCATGTGCAGGGTTGCTGGGACCCCCCTCTCCTGCCTGCTGGCACCCCCCCACTCCTGCCTGTCCTGCTGTGAGCTGCTAAAATCTCGGAGGAGCTGGCGGGTTTGTG